TGTGGAGAGAGTAAAATGAGGGACTTCAAACCATCTCCATTGAATCATGGAAAAGGAAGTGTTGCAGGACAACTGACACCAGTGGAATACAACCGACTAACAGTGTCGGAGACAGTGTCGATAGATGAACCCACCGGTGGATACATGGAGATGTTGGAATACCGGAACTCGGCTAGAGGGTATGTAGTGGCCCTGGAAGACGAAAAGGCCATGGAGGGTTATCTGGAAATGATGTTGCAAGGCACCACCCTCAAGCAGAAGGCGTATGGAACTTTGGCGTCGTCTGACGTAGAGGCGGAGACGATCGAGCAGTTAGTGAGCCTTCCATGGAAAGCAGTAGTATTGAGGTATTTCGAAGAAGAAATGAGGACTACGCCAAGAATACATGCTCTCGTGGCAGTACCTTACGTAAGGACAGAATTACAACTCAGGCTCGCCTGGTGCATGATGGGACTGACTCGCGAAGAATATGATTCGGAAGAAAGGAAGAGATCAAAGGAGGAAAAAGTTTTCCTTATGACGAATCTGAGGGATCTGATAGTCCAGGAGGGAGCAGCAGTAGCGTGTGCAAAGCGGAGAGACGCTCTCTGTTTCATTCGATTCCTGATAGAGCAGATCTCAGTACCTGCATTAAGCACTTGTGTTAAAATGTTGAAGGAAGGCGATGAGCGAACGAAAGCCATGTTCTTACTAGCAATGCTGGATATGCAGCAAAGTAAACCGATGAGGGTGAACATGAAAGAACCTGAAGAATTGGAACCCATGAAAAAGATAGACGAGATCAGGAGATTCTCAAACAAGGAGTTGAGGCTCACTAAAGAATCTATGGGAGCATTGCCGAAATCCAGTGAATACTGTGGACCGATCAAGAAGAAGTCATATAGCTATGTATCCGGGATCATAGGGATAGCGTACAATCCTTTCCTGAGTGAAGACATACGTGATTGCTTCTTTGATTATGAGCAGGCGGTGTTACTAAGGTTCTGGACGTCCAGAATTGTAACGACTAAGAGCGTTAACAATCCACAGGCCAAATTGGGATTGGTCTTGGAAGAAGAGGTGACTGCACCTTCAGTACCAAAATCCGACAAGAGAGTGGAATTTGGGTTGGGATTCTCAGATGAATTACTGAGAACGAGCTTGATGGCAGTGTGGGAATTGATGAAGCCATCGTGGTGTCCTAGTCCCAACGCTGACTCAATATTACGGGCGACACAGGACATACAGAGGGAACTGAATGCGGACTGTAACCTGCGTGACCTCAACATCATATATAATGTGATGATAACAGCCTCTAAGAGCAACGGAGAAGATAAAGTGGAGTTGCCTGGCTGGGGACCAGAAGACTGGGTCAAACCTGGTAGCTGCCTGGCGGAAGTCTGTGGACTAGAGGGTCACGTTTGTGGAAGTCTAGACTGTGTGAAAACCCTGGAGAAACAACACAAGCAGTTGACAGTATTGTTTGGAAATGTAGTGATGAAAGCAAGAACGGAAACGGAACTGATAGCAGATTGCCATGGAGGAACCGATGTGAATCTAGTGACAGCACTAGGATTCTACAGCATGTTTGGTTCTTTAGAGTCACTATTGAATCTAGAACAGAAACATGAGATGGTCACAGCCATCAGCGTAGAAGTATTCCCAGGAGTTCTGCAGACTGAGCAGAAGTATATAGGAAAATGGAGGGAAGCAATCGAAACAGAGATGAACATCAGACACAGTGAAACTTATTGTAGACCATCAGGAGCACGATATTTGGTGGGTTCAACATTGGCTCCAATGTGCAAGAGCAGATACCCTGTACATTTCGTGGCTGTGGACGTGAAGAGTACAAGAACGATCGTGGATCAAGCTTTCTCAGTGCCAAAGTGCGTGAGATTGGCGAGAATGTCTGAAAAGTCTTACGTGTTACTATGTAAGATGTTCTCAGCAGTTCCAGAGAGAACCAAAGAGGAGTTGGAGTCAATACTAGGAAAGAAGTTCATGGGATATGTGAGCGGGAACTTCAGTGACTTTGAAAAACAGAAACAGAGAGGATCAACTGTCACAGATTACAATGCAGTAGATGAGAATGATGAAATCCACCGAGTGATGATGGAAGTGGAACCATTGCTGGAAGCTTCAGGAAAACGCAATTGGAGGAGCATCATGTTGACACATGACGAGTTTCCTTGCCACTGCTTGCTGCAGACCTGGTGGTATCCCAAGTGTAGTAATTTGGTGTTGATCTGGGACTCTGGAGAGCTGCTCTCCATGGGTTTAACAGATTCATCACAGCCCATAACAATAGTGATAGTGGGAGTTATGATGGCGATACGATGGCTGGAAGCTCATGTGAGAGAAAATAATAGACAGGAGGCACCGACGAGAGAACAATTGCAGAAATTAGATTGTCTAAAAGATTTAGATCTTTTTGAGACAATGTGCAAAGTTCTATACATTCCGATGGAAGTGAAGAAGATATGGGCAAGAAAACGATTGATGCCATGGTTCAGAGCTAACATGACTGCATGGTTGTACGAGTATGCGAAAAAGCATATGTCGAAGCATGGCAGAGTATACAGTGAATATCAGCTGGACATTGGGGCAGGAGCTTTCAAGCGAGCTTTCGTGACCCATCGGAATGCAGTGACCACCGCTGTGAAAAGAATTTCCAGGACGAGCGAGCGTAGTGGAAATGAGAAGGCAGAGATGCTGAAAGAAGATTTGGAGAGAAACGTGACGTTGTGTCTCCACAACAGCTTCTGTAGAAACAGAGAATCAAACGTGGATCCCCTACCTTGCTGTAAACAGAGGGTGGAAGAGCAGAAGTGTTGGAGGACGGCTTCCAACAGCGTCAGGATAGTCAATGACGTGCTACAAGACACGGAAACCGAGAGTGCGGAGTCAGCGTCACAGGAGGAGGAAATGGAGCATTGACGAATGGTCGAGAAAACAAGAGGCGGCAAGAAAGAAAATTAGAAGAATTTAGAAGTTTTAGAACTTCTAAACGACGAAAAAAGAAGAGAACAAAGGGATAATGAAGAAAAATTAAAACTCAGAATTGTTTTATGTGTGTGAAAAACTCAAGTGAGAAACCAAGCAACCAAGTTGTAATTGAAAACTGAAACATTTAGTTGAGTTTTGAAATTGTTGCATTCATAAATTTGCAGTTTGGTTTTAGTTGAAGTGGCTTTAGAGACACTCACTTATTATTTATTTAGAAAGGCTTGAGGGAAGAGTATATTTAAATATTCCAGCCTGCATGATTGTTTTTAATCACTTAGGAAGACTGATCACTTTGTGGTGACATGAAAAACTTGAGCAACTTCTTGAGGAGGGAGGTTGTTGCATTGTTCTTTCTAACCACAAGGTCTCTTGGTTTTAATATTCAGGACAATAAACAAGCAAGATTTCCGAAGGGAAGGAGCATAGTAGGATAATTTTAGCTTGTTGGTTGGCAGGACTGTCCTGCAAGCCAACACCTTTTAAATCTAGGAGAAAAAGTTTCAATCGGGACATTGACACTGGAAGTCAGAAAATATGTTTTATCTTAAGTCATATCCTCAATGTGCAGATTAATGAAAGAATTTGAAGGCTATAGTGATGTAGTATGATGCCATTTATATTCTGCAGTGAGTCGATGTGACGTAGATAAAGGTAATTTCGTGCATTTTGTAAATTCTGTTCGATGACACTGTAACCATTTTACGAACATTGTGCGATTCAATGAGGACATTGACCGGACTGTCCGGGGAGTATGTGACATTCGACCAGAATGGCCAAAATGCAATTTATGCAGGATTCGAATTTTGAGCAGTAAGCCTTCCGAGTTGATGATTTCGAAGGATTAGCGACGTTATTGGAACGTTTAGCCAAACGGTGAGGGCTAGAATATTCTAGTATTTTAAATTTTCAAAAATTCGAATGATGACGTCACATTTCTGAGAAATGCTGAAACGGCCATTTTAACAAAAAGCGAGTGAAAAACAGAACAACTTTTATCTGTGATTGCCAACAGAACGAAAATCGAGGTTAAAGAAAAACGACAACGAACTACAGAATAGCGGAGAACGTTCCAAGTTGCAACTATTGTGCTGCTACAATAGTTGCAAGGCCGTTGCCAACAACGGTGAAGGGTGAGAACCAGCCTTCCGGATTAGCAAGAAATCAAGAGTAAGGAGCTTGATTCAGCGGATTCAAGAATCCGGAAGGGTCTCGGGACGGAAACTTTTATTAACTCACATAAACTTTTAGCATCCTGTCATGTCCTGACTTGAATTTAACTGATATTTTGATTAGTTTTGACAAGGATGAGGTGCTAGGAGTTGGGGGAAAGGGTTGATCCATCTTCGATGGAGATGATGGTTTTTATCTACTGAACAAAAACAATAGTAATATAATAAGTAGTAGCCCTGTTTTTAGGAGTGACCTCGTGGTCTGGGGATACAGAGACCCAGCCATGAGCTCACTATTTTTGCATGTAATTCAGTTAATTTGAGCGTTCTGGTCGAAGCCGGAGAGCAGTAACGTTTTTGTCGACCCGATGTAAGAAAGACCACCGAAAAGTACTGGCTTGGTAGAGACGGTGAAAAACATGCAAAGCTCTGTTTAGACGCTAGCCAGTCGTCTTAAGACTTAGTTTTGTTATCCGTCGATATGTATCTTCCGGGCGAATGTTACATTTTCAACATTTAAATTTTTCGACTTATTTTTCTCAATGTTTTTTTGTTTTACTCTGACTGTCGAATACGCCTAATCTCATTTTTCGTCCCACCACGTCTTTTCATCCCACCACGCAAAAAACTACTGATTTGAAAAACAATTTTTTTCTAAGGCTATGGTCGGATTATTCTGTGCTACTTGCACAGTAACCGGCTATCCTTGTTTCGTTTTTGGTCTTAAGTATACACTTAAAAACGTCGGCTGTGTTTCCGCATTGGATTGCCGCATCTCATCTTAATTTTTTTTCTTATATAAAGAAATTATTGTAACACTGTTTCTTTTCTCATTTAAGAAAGGAAATGAAAATGTCCTGTCTGAAAAAGTTGGAGGAAAAAGGGTTTCTCTGTAGTGTAAATATTGCAACATGGTCTGAAAAAATGGATCTCCTTGCCGTTGGGTTCAGTTCGGGTGAGTTCTCGTTGTTCCGATTATCATGGCATAAAGTATGGCATTGCAATGCTCCTAGTCCAAACTGTGGAGCTGTCACTTCTATAAGTTGGCGGGTATCAGATTCTAGGGTTATTGCTGTGGCCTTCGAAAAAACTAGCCAGATTGTTATAGTTGATATAAATTCATCTCACTGTGTTCATCGTCTTATGCTAACAGAAATTCCGAACTCAGTATATTTTGGATGTCTTGGTAGCACTAAGGTGTCAGACTACAGAGGAAGCTCAGAAGTTAATGTATTTTTGCCACCACTACCGAACTTGAAGAAAAATCTTGCACCAGATGCCCTGATTTATCACGAAGGTATTATTGAAAATGCGAAGATACTTCAGAACCAATTAAACCGGCAAAGTTATGATGATAAATATAGCGAGTTAGATGTGTTAATTGTCATACAGGAGAGTTTTATATACTTCTACAGTTGTTGTTTGTATCCTATCTTCAAAATTCCAATCACAGATGTTGGTAAAATTTTAAAAATAAATTTACCGAGCAAACATTTTCCATTTCTAGGAGTCTGTGCTGTTATTAACCACACTTTAATTACCGATCTGTATAAATTAGATAACATTACCAACAATTTCCCGCTATTAATTGACGAGTCCAATCATATTTATAATATAATCAGTTGTTTTGACTATATTTCAACATGCGTGCAAGCTATGTTAGATAGTTGGCAGGATGCTCTTGGCGAGGTGCAATTGAAGCTTGCTCGGTTTTCTCTCGAGAAAAGGTCGCCTGGTACAGTTGGAGACGAGTTCCTAATGTTGCTTCTGTTCGGCAAACCAAGCAGTGAACTTCTTAATTTCCTTGTTAACGAATTGACCAGTAAAGGTTGCGAGAACTTGCAACACTCCATCACATCAAGTTATTCAATTCTCTCAACTTTTACTGCTAATAACATTTTACCCGCCTCAAGAGCCATGTTATTTCATGCTCAAAGTCTGTATAAAATTTGTCGGAAGACGTCGATTATAGAGTCAGATAAATCCCTCGTTGTCATGCACCTTTTGAAATCGGCGGCCTCCTTAGCTCTCAAGGCCAACGAAATGCTAGTAGTTATGGAGAAAAGTCAAATCGAGCTGAAAAGTTTCTTCAAATGGCTGCATTGCATGTTGCTGAAGTTGTCGGATGAAAATGTCCCTCCTGGACTTAATCAGACTTCCCAACACGAGCTTGTGGAAATTGCAAACTTCATAAAGGAAAGTTTGAATGAAACTATTTATGATGAGGATACACCCGAAGGAAAGAAAAGAAGAGCCATTTTTAGGTTAGAAAAAGTAGGGCAGTATTTGTCAAAAGATCACTTGAAAGAACCATGCGACTTTAAGAAACAGGGTAATATGACAAATCATTGGCTCAACTGCTTCATCAACGGAGATTTCGAGAACGAAAATATTATTTACGATCCTTGCACTAATAAGTCATTCAGACAAGTTTTATCAGATTTAGAAGAAATTATTTCAACTGAAATTTCTAGTGTCTTTTGCACGGACGCAGTTGACGCCGTGGAAAAACTCGAAACTATCGTGTTGGACAAAAAGTTTCGTTACAACGAAAAGTGCTCAAATTTTTTTGATTCTTTGGTTCATGAGAATTACTTGAACATTGTCTTCAGCGATAATAAGCTTATAAATACGATGAAAGTCTGTTACTTGGCTGAAGATGAAGGAAATATGCCGAAAAAACTGACTAGAGTAATTGAAATGCAAACTAATACATATGATAGTGTTGAAGTTACTTCTGTACGATTTATGGAATCCAAGTTGTGTATGTTGCTTCACGAGTTCGGAGATCGAAGCGCTTATCGCCTGGTATTGACAGATCCGTTCTCTGATTCTTCCAAAAAGTGTTCCAAATCACTGTTCAAAAAGGCACCTAACGAAGAAGAACACTTCAAGAGATTTCCGCTCTTTGATTCAGTTCACCGACTCAATATCATGAACCATGTAAGTTCTTGAAAGTTTTTAGTTAGGTGTTAAATGAAGTCATTAAATTTTTTGGTTGAGCTGTAAAGATGATTCATAAAAATAACTTCGTTTAGTCATTTTTACATTTTTACACAAGCTAAGTCTTGTGTTGTAATACAAGTTTAAATAATTTAGCCCGCATACTTTGTGCCTAACTTATTTTTTCAATTATATAGGCCGCTTATTTAGTAGCATGTTTTATCCCCTTAAAATATGCGCATTTTTTAAACCATTAGATGTGTAACCACTAGAAGGCTGTTAAAAATCGGACCCGTCAGGATGACAAATTCTTTGTAATCCGGATCTCCGTGTTTCTAATCTTGTAGATTCATTTTTTTTACAGCTTAATATCCTTATTTGTTTTTATTACAGTTTTGAAGATTCTTTAGAGCAAAGAATCAAAAGATTGCTTGAGAAACGTCTAAATTATTTAGACAAGTTGTTTTTTCAGAATTCTATCAAAAGCTCTATCGCGATTTCGGGTAGTTTGGCCCTCTCATCAAATGTGGAGTATTCGCAACTGAGTGTCAGTTCCGATAGGAAGTTAGCTTGTCTGGTTCAGCAGCAAAATAAAAGGATTCTTTTCATTGACCTCGATTCGCCACCAGACGACGACGAGGATGAGGGAAACGACGAAGATGAAGAGAACATGAGTAGTGAGATGTGTGATTTATCAAGTGATACCATTGGCCAACCTAGTGCGCAAGTTGGCAATTTTTTTGAAGATGAAATTGAGTTTGAAGATGGGTATGAATATGAGCCAGAATGGCTACCGAATGCCGATTAGAACCTCGGGATCGATAAACACTCTTGTTTGTAAAGACAGTCAAAATTCTCTTTGACATGTTTGATTGTTTACTGATTTGATTTACAAATATGAGCTGACGCTGAAAATATTCTATTTAAAATTTAGAACCTGTTGTTTTGCGCCAGGTAAGTGAGCTAGAGAATGTCGAGCATGAGTATAATAAACAAACGTCACCAATTGGACAGAGGTAAGAAAGCAAAAGCAAGAAAATTGCAAAAGCATGCCTCAAGAAATACAAGATTTATATAAAAGGAAATTTGAGTTTCAGCGGGTTGTGCAAGAGAAGAAATTGTTGGCCACAGATCAATGATATTTTTTTCTAACAAATCGATTTTTTTTAAAATCTTAGTAGGAGTATGGTTAATCATGTACTGGTGAAATGAAGACACTTATTTAGGCTTGTTGTTTTTTTTCAGGAAAATGTCTCAAAGTTTGTTCACTTGCTCAGTTTCTTGAAAATTGATGTAAAACAACCATCTTTTAGGTAGTAATTAGATGAATCTCGTTTCAGGTATTAATTATTTCAAATAAATTACGTGAAAAACTATGGATTTTTTGGGTTCGTGGTATTCGTCCGGCTCTTTTCCAGCTCCCCCCTTTGATTTTTTCCGATAATCAGTTTACAGAAGTCTGTTTAAAATGACTTTTGATGCACTAAATTGCAAAAAAAAACGTGCAAGCGTCATCAAGTGAACAGATTGTTTCAATATATCTTAAATGCAAAAATCAGCATGAACAATTTTTCAACAAGTTTGTTTCGTAATTTTACTAGGGGATGGGAGACTGGAAAAGAGCCGGATGAATACCACGAACCCAAAAAATCCATATTTTTTCACGTAATTTTTATGAAATAATTAATACCTAGTCCATCCTTTCATTTTTCGTTTGTTTGTCTGTAAATGCCATTTATAATTTTTGGCACGATTTTCATCGGCTTACTTTTTTAAGCATGATTTTCATTAAGACAGTTTTTACCATAAGTGAAAGATCAGTAATTTGTAAATTTACCAAGTCTGATTTAAATAATTGTAAAAGTTGTTTGATCGTTTTCTTATTAAACAGTGTCTGTTTATTTTATATCGGCTTAGCCAAATTGTATTGCGTAATTTCGATGGTATTTCAGTTCGGATGGGTCGTTAAAAACTTATCTCAATTTTTTTTAAGACAAGTTTTGTTTTGGCTCAAAAGGAGTCGACTCAAAACTTGTCGATTTAGTTGCTGCTCGTTAAATGATTCCCAATGCTTCTTAAGGCGGTTTATGAACATGATCCGATACAAACATGAAGTTTTTAAAGGTTCAGTTTTTTCTGAAAAAGTCATAAAGTTTGTTCAGGCTCAAAAGTCTTAAAATTTATTTTTTCGGGATTTGACTTTTGATTTATATTAAAGTTCTGTTCGTCTCCTTCGCTAACAAAAGGCAAACTCTCCGATCGAAGGGCAAAAAGGTCATGACAAACGTGATTGACTTCTAGTTTTGTAAGTGGAATTTAATTTTCAGATTTCCCAGCGAAATAAAAAAATTACCTATCGATCCAGTTTTCTCAAATTGGGTTAATTTTATCGAGAAATTACTAGTCATAAACTGTTCTAGAATTTCTAAAAGCTGTAAGGGTATCTATTTTTTGCTTTAAATTTCGAAAGTTACAATTTTTTCATAAAACAATTCAGTTTTTTTGTTTAATTGCGTTCATCAAATCTCTAACTGTGTGTTGGCTATGTTCAAATAATACAATACTTTTGTCGCTTTTCTTGGAGTTCATTGACTTTTTCCCAACTCCGTGTTGGCCATGTTCTCGGATTTTTCGCTCCACATTTTTTGTGCAAACTCAAAAATCGAAATTTGTTTTTATAATGTATTGGTTACAACTGTAGGCATGATAAGCTTCTGATTATACTAATGAGCGTAGTATTATTTTACATATTCATTTTTTTCTTTCTAAAGTCACAAATAAAAGTGTTCATTTGGTGACACTTTTGTTATATAGCAATGGCGATTTGATGTCATCTGGTCGCTGCTTTATTGTCGGCTAATGTTTGCCAATTTTCAAGCAATCGTGGAGTAGGTACGAGGACGTGTGACTCTTAATGTACAGGTCCGCGGTTTTATGATAATACTATGGGTTGCAGATGATAAAATTTTGTTTATTGAATCATTTGTCAAAAATAATTGCTGTTTTTTGTGTTCTGTTTTATGCTTCTTGGGTTTCATTTCGATGTTGAACTTTGCTCGTTTAAGTGATGATATGTGGAGAGTTTGTTTTCTCATATTTTTTTTTGGTTTTGTTGAAATTGAATTTTCTAAACGTACTAAAATTCTTTGCTCCTAAAGTTAGCTCAAAAAAGCTCAATATCATTTCGAAAAACTAATCTTGAGATTTAAAATATTTATCGGAAGTTTTCTTATCAAGTGCCGATAAACAGGGTTTAGACATTTATTGATGTCTCGCATTTTTCTTCAAGAAAAATTCCTAAATTTTGTTCATGACTATTTCGGATTAGTGTATTTTATTTCATGCATAAAGATGAGTTAGATTTTTTAGTTCAATTTCAGTTGCTAAAAGAAGGCAAATAACATTCTCCACTTAGGAAAAAGAAATGGCTTGAAAAATTGTGAACGTCTTCCATTTTCGAAAGTTGAATTAAATTGTTATTCATTTTTTCCCATTTTATCCATTTTTTTTTTCGTTAGTTTCCTTCATTGTTTTTATCCATTTTTTTCGTTAGTTTCCTTCAAAAAAATGTCAGAAACTTTCATCTAAATTTTTTCGTTAGTTTCCTTCAAAAAAAGTTATCAATTTGCCTAATCTCAGCGACACGTTTCAAATGGCTATTGTCTATGTTTAGGTTTATCAGTATTCGCAAGTGAGATTATTGTTTGAAAAGACGGAAAAAGTGCAATCCGCTTATAAAGGGTTCAGTGTGTCCTAAAAGCTTCGAAATGGTTATTTGTAGTCTTTGGTTCCGGTAGATATTGAACACTCTAATTGTCTGCCATAACGTTAAATAAATTAATTTGGGTTCTAAATAGGTAAATTTCTGTTTCATTTTTTCTGAAGCTTTGTGGTTGAAAAAATGTAAATAATTTTTCCGTTTGCTTGATTCTTCGTCGCTGAAAAAGTTTTCACTTTAAACTATTGCTTGAATTTTATTGCGTGTATCTGGTGTATAGATATAACACATGCTTGAGAGGACCAAGGCCAGAGGTTCAAATCCGACAGGAGCCTGCTGCTTTTGACTATTTTCTGCTTTTTCTGACTATCGCCCGTCTTTTATTTTTGTCGGCTAGTTCCCGTAGCACTGACTTTTTCAAGAGACAATGAAGGTATTGAAGACTTTCATATAAGTTTTTGTGTTTTTTTGTCATGGTGATTTTTTGGCAATTTTTTTTCAGAAAGTCTTAAAATGCTCTAAAAACTACTGAAGTTCATTCATAAAGTTTTTTGGTTTATACCTAATCGGCTCAGTAGAATTGATGCGTATTGCGTCGTTAGATATGCGAAACAAATTTTCTATGCATGTGAGTTTTCTGAGGGGCTAATTTGAAATGTTTGAAGAGTTCTATGAAGAATTCTTTTGTGGCTCAACGGATGTCTGCTCAATTATCGTCGGTTTTGTTACTGCTTCAAAGTTTTGTTTCGATGCAAATTTAACTTTCAATTGTCTTATTTGGTATGTTTTTTTTAAGCACCAGATTCTCCAAATAATGTGGAACAGCGAAATTCATAAAATCGAAATTAGTTTCGTACTAAAAAATGACCAAATTAGTTGCATATTAGACGCCGGAGATTTTCCATCCTATTTGAAATAGAGAGCGTTTATGTGCATTGTCAAATTGCTTTCAGGGAGCGATTTTTGGTGTTAGATACAATTTCATAGCACTAAACCTGGTAATTTGCTTTTATGGAAGCAATTGTTTTCGAAATAAAAATCATATTTGTTTTATGGCTCGAGCTTTTTCTTCGTATTTTCGCGACACGTCTACTTGCACATCAACAAGGTGCTCACGTGCTTTTAAGCAAAGTCTTAAAGTTTGATGTCACTGAAGTTTGACTTGTGGTGGTTTGACTTCTAAATTCAATCCAATTTGTGAAAAGGAAGGCAAATTACTCCCTCTAGTTAAAAAAAAAACAGAAATGGCGCAAAAAAAAGAAAAACTTCTGTTCGAAAGCAGATATCAGTTTTTGGATTTTCCAGCGGAATGAATAGCAATTACTAAATAATCTATTGATGCTGTTTTCTTTAACTGGGCTAGTTTTGTTGTAAGAGTTGAAAAAGTAGCTTGAAATATTTTGTTCATACTTGATTCCAAGAGTCTCAACTGAACATGTTTCGGTTATTCAATTGTGGTTTTAATCGGCTTATTGAAAGATGGTTTTAATCGGCTGAATCGTTCTCTGCAAAGTTTTTATTAGATATCTTTCTGCAAAGTTTTGACTGCCAGCAAGTTTCATCGTAGATGTAATTGTGTTTGATTTACTCTTAAATTTCTGGAAATATTAGCCGAATAGCCTCGTTTTTATCTGTTTTCCTTTTTTTTCGCTTATGAGCTTTATTCGGCCTAAATTGTTTCGTTTTATGTTTTATTGGCTTACTTACAATAACTACCAGGCCCCTTCCCTTTTGGTCTAGTGGTAAAGTACGTGCCCTGGGATCCTAACTTTGTAGTCCCGGACTGTCCTTGTTTTTTTTCGATATTCTAAACTATTGCTCATAATTTTTGTGACATCAATTTTGTTTTCGCCTCAAACAGGCGTCGACCGAAGTTATCCTTCGGTCATTAATTCAGAATGCTTGTTAGTGCGATGGATTGTGTTTTTCGACATAGTTTCCTCAAATTGATCATAATTTGAACATATCGAATTGTTGCAAATGCTTTTTTTCTCAAAGAAAAAATTCAATTAATTTTATAGGCTTAATGGCTTCAATCTTATTTTGTACACACTATCTGGCAATGCTTTGTTTGGTTGTATCGCAAGTCAATGTTTTTTTTCTCCATGAAACACCTAAGTGGTTCCATTTGTCTGTTGGCTATGTTTTCCGTCTTTATTTCCGTCGTTAAACTTTTGTTATCAGATCTGAGTGCTAACGCGGGTATAGGTATAATCTGAGAA